AAAAAAAAAAATGAAAAGGAAAACTGAGGAAGAAAAAGTGGGGTTGTTTTATGTAACAGCGACTCGAGCAGCAAGCAAATTCGCGATTGGCGCTTCAGTTTTCATCTGGTGGAGCCTATGTTGGAATATATTTGCCCTTCATTTTTATGATAATTTACGGGATTGCCATTATGCAGTTTAAATGTGTGGGAAAATTTGTCAAAAATAATTGCGTTATTATTTGTCAGTACGTAGCCACTAGCAATTAGCAAAGCAAAAAGTGGGTCTTTTTGTGCGCATATGCACGTGCCAGGTCAGCAGATAGGATGCTGCATAAAATCAATTTGATTTAAGTAACCTTGATTAAGGTATATTTTGAATTCAATGATTGAAGTTGATGTTATAGTAAGAGAGAGATTAATGATATGATAAATAGTTAAAAATATGCGAGTAGATAAATAGTGAAATAAAGCTGATAGAATATGCGAGAATGATAACTAGTAGTCAATTAGTATTGTGGGCATGAGTTAGAGTTAAATGAGTTGCTCTAATTGAGACTCGAGTTCGGCTTAGCCATTTAAAGTGTGGTTCGAGATCGATGTAGCTCGTTTATTTAATGAATTGAGTTTGGCTCGTGTCGATGAGACTCGAAAAGATTATTTTTTTTAAAGTAACTTTTTAATTATGATTCATTGAAACTTGAGTTCGACTTGTTAATATGATAAACAAGTTTGAGTTTGATTATTGACTTTTTATAATAACGAGTTGAGCTCAACTCATATCGTTAGTAGGAGCAGAAACAAGAGTAGTCAACTTGAGCTCGAGCTTTTAACTAGTCGAATCGAGTTCGACTTGTTAACTAAATGAGTCAATGAGCTCGAGATTGATTTGTTTATCAATATTAACAAGCTACACTCGAGCCTTAATAAATTGTACTCAAGCATTAACAAGTCGAACTAAATTTGTATAAAAAAAATATTTTCGTGACTTAACAAGTTGAGTTGAGCTTGAAACGTCAACTAAACGAACTTTCAATGAGCATGAGCTTGGCTCATTTATCAAACAAGTCAGACCGAACTTGTAGCCTTAACGAGTTGGGCTGTACAAACAACTCGTTTAATTTATTTTTTTTTTTTTAACAACTCGTTTCATGTAACTTACTCTATCAATAATAGGTAACTATTGCTTATTTTAATGAAATAATGGATATAAAAATAACTAAATAATTAAATACTACTTGTAAACCACTACACAACATTAAAATATATAAAAAATCTAATTAAACTCAAACTTAAGCACAAGCACATTGCAACTATAACACACTCTTACACTTATTTTTGAAAACTTTTGGAAAAAATACGATCAATTTAAACCATATAAACAACCAAAAAAAAATAAAAAATTGAGTAACAAATGATAGAAATAAAATATAAAATAACTATTCATTAAACAATAAAATTAATATTCTTATAATTACAAAAATCTCACAAGTGTACAAACAAAAAGGATTTTTTGGTAGATGGAATAATTTTCTCTTTATTGTCAACAAATTGAATGGGCCTTCTATTTGGTTCTCACAAAGCCGCTAGACCCACTCCATTAGTGAGTTAGGCCCAAATACTAAAACCTCAAATCAATGGGACTAAACCCACAATAATCGCGGCTATCATCAGCTGATAAAAATTATTTTCCCGCCTTGTCTCTCTTTCCAAACACGTCGTCACGGATTGATTATGCCATGAACTGTTTCCCTCCAAAACCCCACCGCGAACCAGAGGGTTATTCCGAGATCATACCCTCGTCGGAGCACAAGTTGTTGGGAAAAGAGGTCGGATAAGATGGAAT